CCTGTCCCACCCTTTGCAGTAAGTACTCTTAAAAACCTCTGCACGTGACCATAATTCAAGGATACAGGTCAGGTCTTGAAGATGAAAAGACCCCATCTCTTTGGAGATAGGAGAAAAGGAGAATGGAGGCAAATACATCGGCCGGGCCCTTTCTGGGATAGTAGGCACAAATAGATACGGGGCCTTCAGCAGACTGGAAAAGGTTTGGAACAAGACCCAGTAGGGCCTTAAGGGGGACAGTTGGAAGAGAGACCAAGAATGACCGAGGAGAAGCTGAGACCCAGCTGAGACCAGATATGTGATCATATAATGTGTGAAGTTTGTCCCTTCTTTTTCCCAGCCATACTCAGCAATTTAGAACAAGACAGGGGGAAGGAAGGGCAGAGCTAAGTACTGGCCAGGGGCCCACAGCTGATGGACAAATCTAGGGTGTTTTTAAACCCATCCCTAAGATGCCGGACCCTGGCTAAGTGGACAGGAGTCCAGGGGAGACCAGAACAACAGAGCTGGGATGGAGGCCACAGAATTGGTGGCCAAGGAGACGAGGCCAAGGAGCAGAGTCAGAGGGCATGACGATGACGTAGGGACAGCATCATGGAGAATGTTCATCCCCTGGTCTGGAGAACACAGACTCCACGCCATAGTTGTGTCTTCTTTCCTTCCTCCCTCTCACTCGCTGTCCCTTGCACAGATACTATGTGTTATCTGTCTCAAACGTGCTAATCACAGGACAGCATGGACAAGGACCCTTGCCTGGTAGTCTGGAGTCTCCAGACTTCAAACTCCCACACCCAGTGTTGCCATCCAATGGGGTGGCACGTACGGGTGTGTGGGAACACCCCAGGCACGTAACCCAGACTGGGAGTTTGTAGAAGGCTTTCCAGGAGGAAGTGACTTCTGAGCCGGGACCTCAAAGATAAGAGAAAGTGAGGCGGATAGAAAGGCTGGGGAGGCTAGCACCACAGACACCTCTGTGTCCTCGCCGCCCCCTGGTAGAAGCCGGCTTGCACGCCCACCTCTCTGCTAGAACCGCTCTAGGATATGGCCGCTCATCCCCTCACCAAATCTCGTCTCCAAACGGCCCCCAGAGCTTCCAGCCTTTCCCGGTCTTGATGCTGTCTCCCTCCTCTCTGACCTCCCTTCTCTGCTTTCCTTCCTCGTTCCCTCCCCTTCCACCGAAATGTGGGTGTTGAAGTGCTCCTCAAGTTTGTGACCACACATCTTGCTCTCCAGTGTCTCTCTCTCCTTCCATAATCCCATCAACGTCCATGTTTTCCTCTCCTGCCCTGGCGTCCCTCAAGGACCAGCGCCATGTCTTCAACACACAGGGACATCTTGTGGTCTTACTCTTCAAAACTTGCCCTGGATTTCACCTCCCTTCACCTCGTGACTGTATCTCTGCAGGGGCTGTAGCTTTATCCCTTCCTCTCTCAGATGGATGGTCTGGGGTCTCATCAATCATTACCTCCAAGGCCATCTTGCTTTCCCCCACCACACCCCACCACCACCTGGCCTTTACATGCTCCCTAAGTGCCATGTACCTGTGCTGTGCATGGCCAGGGGGAATTTCCTGCTGTGCTCCTGGGCAAGCATAGCTGCTTCTGGCCAGAGCTCCTTAGTGACCCCCCCCCCGGCCCCCCAATATCTGTGAGATGGAGCCTAGCTCCTTAGATGGGCTTTCAGGCCTCAGTCCAGCCTCAGAGCGCCATCTCCTATCCCATTGCCTCTCATTGCCTTTGCTTCAGAAAGACTCCGGCTAAATGCCCTTGCCTCCAAGTGCCCACTGTCCAAATTCCCAGCAAAAGCTCATCTCAATATTTCTGGTTCAGAGATTCAGAGAAACTGCCTCTGGTTTTTTCTGTTGGAAGAAATGTCTCCTCTCTGACTTCAACTACACGTCCCTATTGGAACTCGTCCCCTTCTGCCTTGTATTTGGGTTATTTGTGTACGTCTCTACTGTCCCAGTACATCTGGGGGCAGGCCTTGAGGCCAAGGGTTCAGATTATTTTTTTTTTTTGTCTTTGCATATAGGTTCCAGCACGGGAACTTGTACATATTACATTCTCTGTAAAGAAGGTTTGAATAGGGGCGCCTGGGTGGCACAGTCGGTTAAGCGTCCGACTTCAGCCAGGTCACGATCTCGCGGTCCGGGAGTTCGAGCCCCGCGTCAGGCTCTGGGTTGATGGCTCAGAGCCTGGAGCCTGTTTCCGATTCTGTGTCTCCCTCTCTCTCTGCCCCTCCCCCGTTCATGCTCTGTCTCTCTCTGTCCCAAAAATAAATAAACGTTGAAAAAAAAAATTTTTTTTTTAAAAAAAGAAGGTTTGAATAAAGGCGTGTGTGTGGTTTCAGTAAGGCCATTAAAAAATGCAAAAATAAGTCTTTTATGATTTCACTCTTTGAAAACTAACCTCATGGGGTGCCTGGGTAGCTCAGTGGGTTGAGCGTTGGGCTCTTGATTTCAGCTCAGGTCATGATCTCACGGTTCGTGAGATCGAACCATGCGTCGGGCTCCGTGCTGATGGTATAGAGCCTTTTTAGGATTCTCCCTCTGCCCCTCCCACCCCCTCTCTCAAAATAAATAAACTAAAGGGGTGCCTGGGTGGTTTAGTTGGTTAGGTGTCCAGTTTCGGCTCAGGTCATGATCTCGTGGTTGATGAGTTCAAGCCCCACATCGGGTTCTGTGCTGATCGCTCAGAGCCTGGAGCCTTCTTCACATTCTGTGTCTCCCTCTCTCTGCCCCTCCCCCACTTGCACGCACACGCGCTCTCTCTCTCTTTCTCTCTCAAAAATAAATATTTAAAAAAATAAATAAACAAAAGTTTTAAAATGAAAACTAGCCTAAAAGTAGCATCACATAATAATTAGAGCAAGAACAGAGATCGTTGATATTCTTGTATTATTCTGTCTCCATCAACCTTCACAAGTAATTCTGAGTCATGTCATGTCCCTTATCTCTGTCATGGGGATAATTCTGGCCAGACATGGTGTTCGGTAAGAATGTTCTCCAGGTGATAAGGAACCGAGTCATGTATGCTCCGTCACGGAGTCTCCCATTAAAAGAGAGTTCACGTTTTAGCAGGGACCTCAGCTGTACCACAGAGGCTGACAGGTTTGAACATTGGTGCCTCTTAACTCCGGCTGAAGGCCCCGTTTCTGTTTCCTCCTGTGCATGTTTCCAGTTCGGTGAGCAGAACCGTGGCTCTTGATAAAAGAACATGCCTGCCTGGTCCTGCTGAGGCCGCGCAGATGTGGGAAGGCAGGTCCCTGCACGAACCACCGAACAGTGGCCCTGCCTGCCGTTGGGGAGCTTTAGCCTCCCAAAAGTGAAAAAGTTGCATAGAGACAGAGTTTTGTTCTTTCAAAAACTCCCCGTAACTCTTACAAACCATATGTATAGAGCGAGCAGTGTGCTTTTTATTCCAGTTAGAACGTTGGCAAGGACCAAGACTCAGAAGCAAGAAATACTTAGACTTGGGGCGGCTGGGTGGCTCAGTCGGTTGGGCGTCCGACTTTGGCTCAGGTCGTGATCTCACAGCTCATGGGTTTGAGCCCTGCTTCGGGCTCTGTGCTGATGGCTCGGAGCCTGGAGCCTGCTTCGGATTCTGTGTCTCCCTCTCTGTCTGCCCCTCTACCCCAATTGTGCTCTTTCTCTGTTTCTCAAAAATAAATAAACATTAAAAAACATAGAAGAAGAAATACTTAGATTCGTTGAGGGGAAAAATCTAGCTGGTAAAACATAGGAATGCTTCTGGTGTGGAAAAACAATGAGGCCCATAATTAGACAGCTGTATCTACATTGCTGAGACATGGAGATTTATGAGCTTGGAGTGAGGGGGGAAGGCTTCTTAGAAGATTAAGAGGAAAAAGACACCAGGGAATTAGCACATCTTTAAGGACAAAACCGAGAATGTAGAGCATCTTAGAGATAAGCTAATCTATCCTCCCCCTTAATCTACAAATGAGGATGCAGAGACCCTCATTGATAAATTATGGGTGCAGCTGGAGTAAATAAAACCCAGGGTTTTTGACCCAACACCGTGGCTTCTTCTGGACCACGATGGCGGGGGTAATCCTAGCCGTTGAGAGAGGTTTTCATTGTATGAGGATGGAGTTAACATAAACAAACATGTACTGACTATGGTGTCCTCTGTGGACTTCATTGAAAACACATACACACACACCCCCTTCCAACAAGGTCACGGTAAATCCCTTCATGTAGCATGCTGTATGGCACAACCTTGCTTGTAAAAACAGAACCCCCCTCAGAAGGGCAGAAACACGATCCTCAGGAGATTTGCACACTGCTTTCTAACAGTTTCTCTTTGCTGTTTTGAAATATATTAAAAAAAAAATAGATAATAGGCGCCTGGGTGGCTCAGTCGGTTAAGCGTCCGACTTCGGCTCAGGTCATGATCTCACAGTCTGCAAGTTCAAGCCCCGCATCGGGCTCTGTGCTGACAGCTCAGAACCTGGAGCCTGCTTTGGATTCTGTGTCTCTCTCTGCTCCTCCCCTGCTCACTCTCTCTCTCTCTCTCTCTCTCTCTCTCTCTCTCAAAAATAAATAAACATTAAAGTATAATAGATATGGGAACAAATTGTAACCTAGACTGACAACAAGCCCAACAAAAAGTGAGTAGGGAATAAAAATAAGAAAGAGAACCCCTAGCGTGAAATAAAAATAAAACAGTAGCACATTGTTTCATGCATTGATACCTTTTAAAAAAATAGAGTCACTCATGTAACTTACATTTGTTGAGTGTCTACCGTGTGTCAGGCACTGTTCTGGGCACGGGGTGGGGGTGGGGGGCGCAAATAGACAAGAGCCCCTGCCCTCCAGGAGCTCATAGAGGGAGGTGAGCGATACTGTTCTTAAGCTCCATCACCACCACCCCTGCCCCCACCGCCTGCCAGGCTTTGGTGGAAATGTAACTAAATTGGAAAATTGATAATGTCTCCACAAATGGGGATGATTCTAATGAAGGTTGCTTTCTGGTTTTCAGGGAGAAGAAAACGGCTTTCCAGACAGTACTGGAGAACCCCTTTCAGGTAAACAATTGACTCCACGGATGTCTGGGCTTCACTGAGAACTGGCATGGCTGAATTAAAGATAATTTAGGAATATGTTTATCATTAACTTTGAAAATCTGTATTACAGCCTAGAGAAACTTTCCAACCACCGGTCATGGTGAACTGCAAGGAAATGTTAACCAGATTTCACAAAAGCCTTCAAAGAGTCTTTTCTCCGAGCTAACCCTACTGTGCGCAGGGGCAGGGCACAGCTGGATTCCCAGTTGGACAGGTTTAGGATGGGGCAACAGAACAGAGCAAGCAGACCCTTCTCCCTCAGGAGTCCTAGGAGGCTTGCCATTGCTGGAAAACTGTGCCAGGTGGAAGAAAGCAATGGGGCTTAGGTAAACCAGGTCAGCACAGGAAGGGCCAGCATCCTCTCTCGGTACCTCAGGCACTCGGTTAGCCAAGGGGACCCTCCTGACACCTGACCATGTGCTATTCCCTACCCTCTTTCTGCTACCGGTGTGTTTAACCAAAGAAACATGAAGGATTGCGTCCTTTCCCACTTTTTATTGTAAGATGGAAACTCTGGCAGTCTTTAGATTTCTTATTAATCGATCTTGGGGAAAATCTGGAGTGAGCATTAAAATACGCTACCAAAAGAATAATGAAAAGATATAGAAACCTCACTCATATTTTCTATATCTTTTAAAACACATATCAAATGACCTGAGTCATCAGAGTTTTGTTTCTTTCTCTTCTAATGGGAGGGTGGCGGACCCTGAAGCCCTCAGGATAATCTCATCAATCCTACCTAGCCTCTGCCAGTGTAACCATGCTGAAAACCAGAACACATGTTGTATAATCACCTTAGCCACAGTGATCTCTGGTGGTGAGACTGTAGGTGATTTTTTTTTTCCCCTTCAGCAGATCTATATTTATTAAGGACCTACTGTGTGCCAGGTTCCCTAAAGAGGCCATGTGCTAAAAGTATAGTTCTGGGAGACAGAAGTGGGGATCCTGGTTTAAATTCAGTCATCCCCCTGCTGAGATTAGAGCAATCAAAAGAGAAACTGAGCCAGATGAACTTGCATTAGAGACTTCCCACCAGTCTCATGGGACAGGCCCAATGTCAGGGTCCCATCCGGACACCCCATTGGAACTTGTCTTCCTTGGGCCACACCCCTCCCCTACCAGAGGCTAGGACCACTGGCTAAGGATTATCCCTCTTCCACAAATGCTATAGCAGACAAGCTCAAATTAGAAGCACCTAGCTGGGTGGTGTGAGGAGGAGAAGGCATCTTTGTATACAAGCAGCCACTTTTTTTTTTTTTTTTA